GAAATGCTCCTTACATTCATATGTAAAATTTTCTCGAAATCTATGCGCTTTTCGGATGGATTTCTTGTAAATGGGACTGGGACCCGAGACGCATGTGCATCTAGATGCAGCTATATTATCGCCATAGTGTATATATATATATACTAGACGACAATTGCGCGCCAACAGTGTTTCGAGTTTGACGATGAAAAATTAATTTTCAAAACATAATTAAAAATCAAATAATTAAACATAATTTATAAAAAATAGACATATTTATATAAAATAAATGATCATATTTTGTTTATTATAAAAAACATTTATTACATGAAGTAATACGAACAAAATCATAAAAAATTAGGCCTAATTTCCACAATTTTTGATTTTTCAAATACCAATAATTTGATAATTTTTCACCAAATCAGGTTCAAAAATATGTCAATCGAAGCGTTTTTTAATGCTCTACAAGTTGGTAATGGTAGTTTTAAAGTTACTTTTATATTTTTCAACAAAATTTTCAAAAAAGTGTTATTTTCGAAAAATTTAGATTTTTAAAACTTTAATATCTCCGGCTAATATAGACGAAAAATGTTCAATGAAGGCTCAAAAGATGCGTCTGAAAAAACTCTACAAAACTAAAGAAAAACATTTATAGATGTCCCAACATTTTTTTTAAACGATCTAAAGCCGCGTTCCCATGAGATAAAATTAAAATCATTTTCACAAAGTTCTCCAAATTAGAAAAGCCTTTTGATGATGATTTCAAAAATGAAAGAAAATAAACGAAAGTGATTCACTCATTCAAGTATCTGGTCGGCTGAAAATTTAAAAAATAAAAAAAATCTATTTCTTATGAAATTTTAAAAAAAAATTCCTGATTTTGATTAAAATTCCCTGACTTCCGCTGGACACCCTTATTAATATATTAATTATTTATATATTATTTATTATTAAACTTTTTTATAATATAAATATAATTTTATTTATAACAAAAAATTGTAGGATAATAAAAAATTAATAATAAATAAATTTTAAAATACAATATACCGTCAGAAATTGTCAGTACGAACGACGGGCGAGCTAAGAAAAATTGCCGCTGAAATTAAATTAACATAGTTTATTATTGGAAAATGCAGCAATTTTTCTTAGCTCGCCCGTCGTTCGTACCGACAATTTCTGACTGTAGTGTATATTTTATGCTTCTTTTTTGATTAAGCATAACCATTCTACATAAATTTTCTATATATTAACCTAATTTGCGTCTACAGCCGACTTTTATTAGGAGTACTCGCATTGCGCCTGGACCACCCGTCAATGGGTTTTCTCGCCAGAGAAGAGGGAAACTGTAGAAAACCTCTCCTGAGTACAACCGGTTTGTCGACAGTCGAGTTCTAATGGTGTGTACTGGACAATAATCGACGGTGCACATCATTATACCTCGACGTCAAACCTCCCGCTCAGATTGTCTCACGTGCCGGAAAAATACCAAGCCAAGTGGGCGCGAACCAAGGATACTTATACCCTTGGTCCTTAAACGACCGCCAACGCCAGGCATCTATCCGACTGAGCTAATCTGTCGGTGAATTAATCTTTTTAAATTTATAGATAATACACACTTCTCAGATGAAGCAGATAAATATACGTTTTATTATCTGCAATGAAAGACATTAGTAAAATTAATTATTTTATTAGTTATTAAAATATGTATAAAATTTTTATATTGAATTTAATCTTTCATAACATTTTTTAACATTTAATTTTAACAATTTTAAATATTTTATATTAGAATAAATTAAATATTAATATTATTTACATAAATTAAATATATAAAACTTAATCATTTAAAAATTAATTCAATTAAATTTATTTAACAATTATATTTATCTAAATAATTTCTTATCAATAATAATCAATGAAATATAAATAAGTTTCCTTAAAAAGCACATATTTATTAATTTATAATTTATTTAATTGGATTAAATCACTTTATTACGTCAATAATATATCTAAAGGAATCGCGTTAATTAAGATAACGATTTTCACGAACGTATTTCCAAAATAGATTGAGACTATTTTTTTAAGTACTTGAAAGACGAAGATGATGAAAAAGATTTGGATAAAGGGAATATAGCCTTCTTACGCACACTACTTTTATTTTAATGTGTAAGTATATGTTCGTATAGTGAATGAACCTCTCTATTTCAAGTGTTTAAAAGACAAAGATAGAAAATATGAATTCAGCCAATTGAGTATAGCTCACGAGTGAAAGCAACCAATGGGATAGGCGTTACTATACTTCGAGATATTTCGAAATCGCAGCTCGTGTCGTGTGATAATTTCCAGTTCTAAAGTGAATTAGAATTTCTTTTAGAATTTTTTTCCAGTGTGCGAAATATATTCTACTTTTGCTAATTCTGTAAGTAAAATATTTTATTTTGTATGTTTAGCTGTGCTCTTATTTTTCTTTCTCAAAAAACAAGCATGGTTTGAAGTTTAAGGTTTTGTTTCAATATTTATGTTCTTTTACCTATAATTCATTGTCTTTCAAATGCACCTATAAAAGTTTACTATCAGTAATGTTGAATGATTAGAGATAAGATAAATTGCTAAATAAACGTAGAAAGTTTTTAAAAATTATAAATTAAAAGAAAAAATATGTGAAATTTAATTTGCGAGCTTTTTATTTTCGTCTACATATATACTCATGTCTATATTTTCGATTTTTGTTAAATAATAACTGAAAGATTGTATCAATTGCATGAAATGTTTGTTAAAATATTACAAAATAACTTGCTTTTCAAAACATTAATCGTTAAATAACGTTCTCTTGTGACTCTGTAGCATAAATAATTTGCAAAATAATTTCAAACACATGTTTTTAATGTAGTATTTATATATAAGCTATGTTCAAGTATAAATAATAACGAAATATAGAAATACTATTGTTTTATTAATAAATGAATGATTTAAGTTAAAAGTACAAGTTATTAAAATTTTTAACCCTCTAACATAGTTGTATATGTAGTTTTTTCTCTAAAATATAATCTGTGGTAAAGAAATTTAAAAATAGAAAAAAATTAATTCTTTTCTCTTGGTACGTTAAAATTCTTTCGGAACAACTAACAAACTCTTTATTTGAAAACCAGATTAAAGTATAGTTATTAAATTTACTGCAAATATAAAATGTTCAGTAACATTTCATTGATTCAAAGAGACTGTTTTTCTTGTAAAAATGTAAAAATTTATTCACATTTTCATCACTGAGAAAAATAGAGTTTGAAAAACTGGGAGTCAATATTGAAAAAACTGGACTCAGTCCAGTAAAAGTACATTAATTCATTTCCATCAAGCATCTTAGGGTGTTGCGTATAGTGTATAGAGGGCCTTAGTTCCAAATGTCACTGTAAAGAGCATTGAAACACAGGCGAAGATTATAAGGCGCGCTGCAGTGTGCATAGTAGAGAAACTGGACTCAGTCCCCTACTTCGAAATTTTCACAATAAAGGAACGCAGGCGCGGAACCTGTCAAAATAAATGGCCGACGCGACGCGAAACGAGTGTTTCCTTTTATTCACTTCGTCAATTTTATATTAAAAAAACAATAACCAATCATTAAAAAAAAAAGAAAAATATGTTAAATGCACTCTTTATATATTCATATTCATTAATTCACAAGTTTTATTCTTCCCACATCTTCATACTTACAATTAACAACTAAATGCATCGGAAAATCTTACAATCATACGGGATTGAACACCTACCTAACCATACAACTAAATATACGCATATAATTATAAATCGCACGCTTTTACATTAAGCCTCTCGGCTACGCAATCAATGGGGGAAATTTCCTATTTAAGAAACATCCCTTACCAATGAAATAAATTAGATCATGCGTGGATTTTACTTTGTAATTAATGTAAGTATGGATGTCAACAATATTCATAATATTGAATAAATAATATTGTCAACTAGTTTAAATTTGATACGGTTATTAGAATTTAATAATAAATAAATAGAAAACATTAATTTTTTCTTAATAACCTTGAAACCTTTTTTAAGTTTGACAGTCCTCATGGTAAATTTGATTATTCTTTTTTTTTCGTATACAAAATAGTGAATTGACCTTGAATGAAATGTATAATTAATTATTCTCACATCAATATTTAATAATTTAATGAACTTAACTGCACTGCATAATAGTTGAGAGTAGTAAGAGTAAGTGAAACGGTAAGATAAGTGAACGACCATTAGTGTGAGAGAGAGAGAATAACTTGTGGTTTTCGAGTAGGTATCTACTCTATGTGCACGGCATTCATTTTTCGAAAGAACTGGACTGAGTACTATTTGTTCAATATTCGCTTCTATTATTGACTTGTGTTTTGTACACTGCCGCGTTCTTTTAACGTTTTTTTAATTACATGAGAAAGTAATTTCTCATTCCAATTTTTTATACTCTTATTCCCTCTTAGACTATATAAACAGTCTTGTTTAAGCTGATGAATGGGATAACTTGTGTTGAGTCCCAAACTGTTCAGCTATGAAACTTCTAATACTATAGTGTGTACCTGTCACATATTATTCTATAAAGGAGTACTACACTGACTGCATAAATCATTTTTCCATTTTTCTCCGTGATTAAGTTTCTTGTTATATGTCTACCTATTTCAATTCAAAAGATTTAGTTTTCAAACTTCACAGCTTTATGAATATGGAGAAAAGTAGTTTCACTTATCATAATAATTCACTTCAAGTTGAAGGTCAAGATTACCATTACTTCATATCATTAATTATTAGTTTCATGTCATCAAATAATGGTTGTAAAAATATTAGAAAATAATGCTAATTCTATATCTTATTTAAATTATTGCAGAGCCTCAACAAGCAGATTTTAGCTTAAATAAATTTAATTCGTCAGTAGTCAATCTAAATATTTCGGAAGAACAAGTTTCTGGTGGATGCATCTTATTTGATGGTGCACTACATGTACTCTCCCAAGAAAATTCACTAAGTACACCACAGGACAATAATGCTGAAGGTGAATTAAATTTTGTTTATTAAAATGTTTCAAAGACATAATTATTATTTTACGGTTGAGAAAAATTCAGCTTTAAATTTTTTTAGAATCAGGTAATCAAAATTTAAGAAAGGAAAACTACATTTATCAGATTTTAAACTCAACCTACGAAGGAAGTTTTTTGCTTGCAGCTTATGATTTTGAACAAGATGAGGAGAAGGTAGCTAAATTACTTGAAACAAAAAAATCAACATATTTTTCGAAGAATAAAGTGGCAAAATTAGTCATAAATAATGAGTTTTGGCGAACAAATTCTTATAAGTAATTATTTTTTCTTATTGGACATATATATGCACAAAAATATTTTAATGCGATGAATATAAAATAAATTTTCTATTTTTGTTTACAGTATATCAAGTGATCGTTTAGAAGCGCTAGCCGAAGCTACATGTAAATTATTTCCGGATTTTTTAAAGGAAAGTTTTTATACTAGACCGTCAAATACAAAAGCTGCTGAAGGTGCCTTCCAAACCTATTATTCGAAGCAACGGGAAAAGGAGATTGCTATAGGACGACTAAAAATAAACTTTTTGGAGAGAGGAAAAAGAACTTATCAAGGTAAATATTTTTAAAAAAAAATTTCAATTTTTATAAAATCATGGTTTAATTTATAAATGTGCTTAAAATTTTAATTTTAGAAAATCAAGAATCTGATGATTTCGTAAAATTAAAACAACCAGTTCACATTATCGATGAAGACTACAAACAATTATGGTGCAATTCTGCTTTGAAAAAAAGAATATCTTTCTACGAGAAGACGGATTTTCGAACGATTTTTGAAACATTTTGTAATCTTAAACATTCTGTAGGATATTATCTGGTAAGCATATGCATTTATATGAATTTTTAATTTTAATATTTATTGAGAACTACTTAATATCATACATATTAACTTGTAGGTTCAGGTCGATTTTGAAAAGAACTTTAATATACAGAGCAACATTTTTGCAGAAAATTGGCCTTCAATTGAGGATAAAGTTATTAAAATAGCAAAGAAGAAAAAAGCTACAGACGAACTGATCAAACAAATATTGCGGGAAAATATTATATATCTTATATAACTTCTTTCCTCCGATTTTTTTTGTCTTAACTATACTCATCCACTTTCTGTCTTTGGTCCTTTTATGACTTCTCTAATCACTTTTTTATGTTCTCTTCTGACTTTAGTTTTCAATAATTAAGTTTACATTTTCTATTTTATACTTTTCAGATCATAAAAACACTCTAGCGTTGATTTTATTACCTTTAATCTTCAAAAGAATAGTTAAGCAGACTACAAAGTCTAAAACTAAAACTCACTGGAACCCACACAAAGAAGAAATATTAAAAACTTTTATTGTTCACATTAAGGTATGTACTTTACTGCTCTATATCAATATATTTTAATAATAAAATTCTTATAAATATTCTTAAATTTCAGGAAACCGTAAATTTCAAAGATGAACTACAAGCTGTGGAAAATAATCTGCTCGAAATGCACAACGATCACAAAATAAAGTTGCAACCGTATATAATTATCAATGGTCCATCACTGAATGACATAAAATCAGCGTTTGTGGTACTTGATAATTATAAATGCCAAGTATCTTCTCCTGTCGTAGCAGTTGATATTTGTTTTCAGTGTATAAAAGTGTTTGGAGAAAAATATTCGTCAGTTTGCAATCACGTGTGGCAATTTATAGAAAGAGAAGTGTATAAGTTTGAGGTCAAAGATTTGTATACGGCAGTAGCATCTGTGATTGAAAATATGAAAAAAGTTTATTAATTCGCTTGTTAACAATTACGTTTTGACTGTTGTGCGGTACTTACAATTGATATTGGAAATATCCAAGATTGTAATAATTTGTTTCTTAGAAATTACATTTGTCAGCAATTGTTAAAGTTACAACTGTGAATTTGAAGTAAATGGTTTCTATGTGGCAGTAACAACTGCAATTAAAAGCGTGCAAAAACTGTAATAATTATATCCATTGATTAACTGAAACATTGTGTTTTTATTCAAAATAAATTTTCAAAATCAATTAAGAGAAAACATTGGTTCAAAAAAAGAAATATTAGACAGAGAAATGTTAAAATTTACGCTTAAATTGTACAATAATCCATTACTTTCCAGAAAAGCAGTCGGGGAGATAATTGAAACATTTGACGATTTCATATCAGAACTATTTATTCCATTTCTTCAAAGTGAAATAAAGAGCAACTTAGCACATTTACAGCATGAACAATCTTTTAAGCAAGTACAATTTATTTTGGAAAACAATAAGCAATGAATAAAATGCTTTCAATAAAATGCTTTCATGCTTAATTCAATTTAATGAATTTTCTACTGAACACCGGAGATTCAAACTTTATAAAGATCAGAGTTTCTATATTGAACCAGAAGAGATTGAAATTGGGGAAGAAGCTATTCATGTCATTAAGGATCCAGAAAACATTGAGGTTAAAATGAAGAAAGTCTACGCAGATTATGTTCCCTTAAAGAAAACGTTGGAAAATTTTTTTAAAATACCAGAAATGTTTGAAGAAACGAATGAACATTATAAAAAACTGATGGCAGAAAAGGATGTTATATCTAACTTTGTGCAAGGAGATCTCTGGCGCAAAAAATATTGCTTGCAAAATGAAGAAAAAATTGTATTCCCTATTGGACTTTACTTTGATGAATTTCAGACTGGAAATGTGTTGGGGAGCCACGCCCTTGAACAAAAATTTGGAGGAGTTTACATATCAATCCTGTGCTTACCACCTCATTTAATTGCGAAATTGGAAAACATATTTGTTTTAACCATTTTTTACTCAAAGCATTTGCAAGAATTTGGAAATAAAAATATATTCTCGAGAATTATTCAAGATTTAAATCTAGTATCTGATGAAGGCATTAAAATCAATGTAAATGGAAAGTATTTATAAGTTTATTTTGAATGTGCCCAAATATTTAGAGATAATTTAGGGTTAAATTATATATGTGGTTTCCAGAAAAGTTTCATAGCATTACATTATTGCAGAATTTGCAAAGCTTCTTCCAAGCAATGCCAAGAAATGCTTGTCGAAAATAAAAAATTGATTAGAACAATCGAATCATACGAAAAAGATTTGTCAACAGACGATTCAAAATCAACTGGTATCGTTAAAGAGTGTGTTTTTCACATGGTAAACAAATTCAACATCACGGAAAATGTATCTGTTAATTTTGCTCATGATCTGGAGGAAGGGGTCGCTGTTTATTCTCTTAGTGGAGTTCTGGAACAATTAATTAAGGATAAGGAAATAAACGTTTCCTTATTCAGATGCAGAAAAACCGAATACGCCTAGACCGTTGTTTTTTTCTCCTGACAAGAACGGCCGATTTAAATTAAAAATTAAGCAATCAGCTTCAGAGATGCTCTGTCTTGTCAGGTATTTAGGTTTGACACTGGAAATTGTATATCATACTTAGAAAGTTAGTTAGTGTTCTAACGTCTCCAAGGCTGACTAGGGGTGAAATCGAAAACGTCAGGGAAATTATTCAAAAGCATAATGCAGTTTATATTAGTCTTTTTGGAGCACTGAAGCCAAAAATGCATTTTCTGATTCACTACGTAACAGTCATGTTGTTAAATGGTCCAGTGATCCATTATTCCACCTTAAAATTCGAAAGGAAAAATAAATCTTTAAAAGAAGTGACACGTAGTACATACCGCAAGCAATGTAAACCTGCCACTAACAATTGCCATTAGGCATCAACTGCAACAGTGTTACAACTTGGAGTGTTGTCAAAATGTTAAAAGTGACCTTTCGCTTGGACCGATAAAAAATCAAAATGAATTGCTTGAAACAAAAGATCTAATTACAAACATACCAGAAAACTCAATTGTAACAACATTAAAATCTGTAGATATTTTGGGAAAAAGTTTTTCTGATGGGACGTTCCTAGTAACCAAAATCACGGAGGAAAACCCCAAGTTTGGCGTGATTAAGAAGATTTTTATTTGGAATAATAATACTTACTTTCAAATCAATGAATTTGAAACCCTCTATTTCAATCACTATTGCCATTCTTATCAAGTAAAATCAAATCAGAGGAATTGTGATACTATTGTTAATATAAATCTGCTCCCTAAATTACCGCCGTGTTTATATGTGACCTGGAATGTTAAAAGGGACCTTAGGTCAAAAAAATCTATTTTCAGTTTTTTAGTGATTCTTATAGAAAACGATCTGCTCTTTTCAACGCAATGAAGCCCACACCTCTAGCTTTATTAGTTTTTTTACAATTGCGCTTCAAAGATGGACGCAATTGTCTAAAAAAACGTAGAAAAACATCAGCACAAAAGAAATGTATAAAAAGTGATCAGATTTGCTTGAAACTTGTTACTCGAGGGTTTTTGGGGTCGCTGATTACGAATCTGACATCAGATTTTTAAAACTCAAAATGGCCGATCCAATATGGCGGATAAAAATTTTAAAATTATTTAAATTTGCCTAAAATTAATTTCTTAGGGGTTTTTGGGGTCGCTGATTCAAAATGGTTTTATAACGAAGCGAACAGTAGAAAAACTAACCTTATTATATCATAATAAAAAAAGAATAACGACAGTGATCGCCAATTTTTCGTCAAATTGATTGCAGGAATTAACAAAAGAATAACGATAGTGATAGTCAATTTTTCGTCAAATTGACGATCACTGGAATTAATTTTAACAAACTTTTTATTTTTAAATTTTTATTTGAAGGGGTTTTGTTAATTCTTTTGACAATTTAATATTGATAAAAATTGAAAATTATTAAAAATTTCAGTAAAAAGTTACAAATAAATCCGATCAATTTTTTAATTTTGTCCTACCTATTATATCCGCCATTTTGAATTTTGAAAATCTGATGTCAGATTCGTAATCAGCAACCCCAAAAACCCCCACGTAATGAATTTCAGGCAAATTTAGATAATTTTTAAATTTTTGTTGGCCATATTGGATCCGCCATTTAGAATTTTGTAAATCTGATGCTAGATTCGTAATCAGCGACCCCAAAAACCTTCTAGCAACATGTACCGAGTAAATCTGATAAGTTTGCAAACTGTTTCAAGCGAATCTATTTGCTTCTTACATTTTTTTGGCGCCATATTGGATCCGCCATTTTGAATTTTGGAATTCTGATAGCAGATTCGTAATCAGCGACCCCAAAAACCCCCGAGTAACGAATTTCAAGCCATTTTAATATGCAGAAGTATGAATATCGGTTTGTTAACTTTAAGAACGTTTTTCTCGAAAACTTGATTTTGGACGTAAGGTCCCTTTTTACATTCCAGGTCACATATATTAAAAAAAAGCGATGAGTTAATCGTAAAAAGATTTGATTTGTAAATACGAAACACAAAGTGTTCGCATATTTTTGCATTTTATAGTGTATTATTAATCTATTTGTATCTTTAAAAATTCATAATGTAAGTTTTGTAATATAAATTGATATTTCTGTGAAATAAATTTCGTCTCTAATTTTCTATTTTTTATCAACATATAAAATCTCAAAATTAAAAAGATTGCACAACGAGGGTAGCCACATGTCAGTAAAGTCAGGGAAATGTCCAAAATTGCTACTTTTCGCCTTTTCTTCCAAATATTGCAACGAAATACAATAATTTTTAGTAAAAAAATGCAATTTATTTTAACTTTTATAATCGGAAAAATTACCATAAACAAATCTTTCAAAAATTGTTTTTGAATCATTTTTTAAGATAATTAAATTTTTCAAATATATATATAATAAAAATCTTTTTGAATAATTGAAATTTTATACAATTCAATTGAAAATAATAAATTTTTTTCAACTATTTTGTCAAAATTTTTGAAAATCAACTTTTAAAGAATTTTCATTGCAAATTTTGCAAATAATTGAATTATCAAAAAAGTTAATGAAAAACGTACCTATACATTTAAAAACGAAAATTTGCTTCTAATTTTTAAAAATTTGTTTAAATTTAATATTTTCAGTGTTTTTAATTACTTATTTTCAAAAATTCAAATACATACAAAAAGAATAACATTTTAGAATTATTTTTAACATTTTGAAGAAAAAAATTATTTTTAAAATTTTTAATTATAATTAATTAAAAATTAATTAGTTATTTTAAATTATTAAAATTTTTTTTATGAAATTCAATTATTTTCGAAAAATTACATTAAAATTTTTTCAAAAACTAATTTTTAGAATTGTTTAATCTTTAATCAGAATTTTTTAAGATTCAATTATCTTCGAATAAAGTAAATAAAAATTTATGGAAATTTACTTTTTTAGATTTATTATAATTTTGGTGAAATTATGTTCGTATTGACCATTAAAGTTTTTCAAAAATTAAATTATTTTTATTTACAGTTTTCAAAAATTCAATTATTTTTAAAAGATTAATCAAATTTCAATTCTTTGGAAATTTTTCAATTGTATATAATTAAAAAGCTATTATCTTTCAACAATTATTTTACAATATTGACATTTACAATTATTAAAAGATATTGAGTTTTTGTACTTAAATAATTGAATTTTAGAAGAAACTTACATGAGGAAAATTATTTAAAATAGAGATGAAGTTTAGTTAAAAATTGTAGAAAATAATTGAATGCAAGTAGGGCTATAATTGTGATTTTTATGAATTTTACTTATTTTCCGTAAACATTCATACTTTTCCTATAAAAAGAATTTGTTCAGGGAAATTGATTTCCTCAGAATTTTCTTAAAAAGTTTATAACCGAACTAAGAAAAAGCTTTTACTCCAAGCGTTGCACAAATACAAGTGAAAACTGTCGAATTGAAATAATAAGGTATACAGACATGGTTGTTTCAAATCTGTAAGTAAGACATTTGATAATTTCACCATTTCAGAGAAATTGACAACTGGCCGGTTTATCCCACTCTCCTCTATATTTTTCATAAAAAATTAAGAATTGGAAAATTTATTTTATTTATTCTAGTAATTATTTATATTCAATTGCAATTATTGTTTATTCAAGTTTACTTACCATAAAGTAGAACATTTAAAAAAATTAATTTTACTAGCCTAATTTTGACACGCTAAGCGCACTGTTTCTCTCTCTTTTTTTAATAATAATTTAGAAACAAAAAATAGAATATTATCACAATTGATAGTGAAACAAAAAATAGCAACAACAATAAAAAACTGTTGTCAAATTTTATCACTAATAGTTTTGTAACAGTTGATTTTTGTTTTACTTGACGCGTCCCACTTCCCTATGGGAAATTTACAACTGGCAGAGTACTGCGCCAGCACTGGCAGTAGAGTCAGAATTCCTGAAAGGAGCCACCCAAAACCTTTTAATTTTCTTTTTCGTAGTAATGTGGTTATTTTAATAGTATTTTATATAAGAAATCATAATACCAAAGGATTTTGCAAAAAAAGTTTTTTGTTAATGTTATTAACTATTGAAAATTTTAAACGTATTTAATTAAAAAATTAATTTCTCAAAAACTTATTGATCGATTTTAATGTTTCAAGTTGCATTTTCTTTGTCTTGAAATGAAGTATAACTGACATTATTTTCAAACAAAAATATTTAATTTTAGTGAAAAAAGCAATTGTTTATTTATAAACAATTAAAAATAAATAGTGTTCTGAATGATTTTTTAAGTTGAGAAAATTACTAAAATGTTCTTTATAAACCAATGAAAAATATCCCGTTGAAAAAAAATGGCACGAAGTTTTAAATTGTTTAAACTTAAGCATTTGTACCGCGGTGCAGGGCGCGACTCTGGTCCTTATTGAGCGTACCACGCGCGTGTTATCGTTCCTGCTCGCTGTTTAAGGACTGCGCTTCTTAAACACTTCATTTATTTAAATAATTTTTTAGGGGAGTGTAAGGTATGGTGGCGGACACTTTCTTTTTTGCGTCTTTCTCTCTCAAAAAACAATATTTTTCAAAATTTCAAAAGCAGGCAGTTGCTGACATCTATTAAGCATATTTCTGTCAGAAGCGGCTGTTAAAATTTAAATTCAGTGAAATTTTACAGCTCTTGGGTCAAAAAACTGATTTTTTTTATTTTTGAAAGTTGTAAGGTATGGTGGCGCATTTGGTGTATTTAACTAAAATATTATGTAGATGTTAAAATTATTTTTTAAAACTACTAGAAATGATGAAAAATAACAAAAGTAGAGAAAACTGATGATTTTACATTATAGAAAAAAAAGTTTCACTTCAGTTATGGTTACAATTTTGGACATGTGAAGTAGCTGGTGGCTGTTTTAACGCAACTAGAATAAGAGAAGACCGCAAGTGTCACATATTCGAGAATTGTTGCGTTGGAGCACATGAGGCATTAGTACACAAAAAATGCAAAGACAATTGAAACTCGTGCAAAAAATGATCCGCCACCGTACGTTGCAAAAATTTAGCCATCATACCTTACAAGCTATTGATGAAAATATGATGGTGTTACTTTCATACAGCGCGAATTGAGAAAAATGTAAAATACAAAAAACTGTTGTCCAAGGTCTAAACAATACGTTCCATACATTTACCAGACTCAATTTTCAAAAAATCTTCACTCTGGCACTGTTAACACACATATCCAAAAAACTTTTTTTCTTTTTTTCACTACTTTTTTATTCAAAATCACTTAAAGTACAAAGCACGCGTTTGATCATTAATACTACTGCATATAAAATGTCATCACGATAAAAGACATCGACCATAGTGATAAGGCGCTTCAGATGTGACGTTACATGCCAGATTTGACAAGTGCGCCACCATACCTTACACGCCACCATACCTTACACTCCCCTAATTAATTTTTTTTAATGGAATATTTAATTTATTCTTCTTATTGATTGGTAAATATAGATGTTTTACGTAGTTTGTTAAAATTTTTCATTGAGGAGCAAGTTTTCAAAATCTGATAATCAATTTAAAAAAAAATGTAAATAAACTTGAAGTTAATATTTTGAGAACCTCACAAATCAACATGACACTTTTAAATTTATGAAAATAATTTACTAAAAACGAATTTTTAATTTAAATACTTTTTAAAATAACCAAGAAGAATTATAATTTTTATGTTTTTTGATAGAAAAATCACCATAACCTTTAAGTCACTTAATAATTTGGTAAATATTCATTCCAAACAGAACACCTTACATATAAGAACATTATAATAAAAATAAATTATTAAAAATTTTGTATTTTAAAATTAACTGTAGGCAGTGGTTATGAGGAAAGCTATTTGTTTTAATTTCTCTGAATAAGAAAATATGGATTATTACACAGGCCGACAAAATTTCATCAATTGCATGTTGCCTAAAATGTTATTGCCGATTCTTATAGGATTTTGTCTGTAGAATCAGAATTTGACCTTGAAAATATTGGATTGGCTCTAGTTTTCAAGCAACTTACGTTTCAATACGCAAAATACGCATTTTTGGCATTTTTTGAATGGATGTAAAACGATATACCGAAACAGTAAATTTGTCCGCATAGGACCAAATTAAAGCTTAAATACTGCTCTTTAATATCCAAAAACAAAAAATTTAATTTATATACAATTTAACCTTTAATGTCCAATGGGACATACGCTGTTTCATAAACGGATTGAAAATAACATTACTTTTGACCAGGTAAGGCAATTTAAGTAATAATTAGTCCCTCTGGGGGTTTTTGTGGTCGCTGCTTATAAATCTGTTATGATATATAAAAATTAAAAATGTCGGACTAATTTTTAAAAATAGTTTACACCTTTATGATAGAAATGTAAAATAAAAAAAAATTCGCCATATTGAATCCGCCATTTTGAATATTAAAATCTGAAT